ACCCTTGAATTACTTCAAAATGAAGATAAACTTACAGCAAGTTAACGAAAATTTTTACCGTTTTATACATGACCAAAGATGCGATTAAATCGAGTGCTAGCATTTCGAAAGAAGGCTATATCCCACGCTTCTCCGAAAATAAAAACTTCAAGGGTTAGATATTTTGGTTCACGACGGTATGCGTGTTACGCATCGAATTTATCGTGTGTCTGAAAGCTGAGTTTTAGAGCGAAACGTTATTGATAGTGTCGAATGATCAAGAAAGGCGATTGAAGTACCACACGGTACTAGAATTACGGAAATGTACTGTATTAAGATTCTCGAAGTATCGGACTGATGCATGAACGACATCTACGAGATCGGCAACAAACCAGTAAACTACGCCTACGACCTGCCCGTTCTCTCCTCAGTCTCTTATCAACACTAATCGATTTTCGATAAAATAATTGATAGGTGTCGCTAGTGGAACGAGTCCATTACTGTGGTTACATTTTCTATGTTTACGCTTTTTATGAATCTCGTGATCGACGCAAAGGAAATATGATATAAATTGTTCATATCATTGTAAAAGTCATTTTGCTGCGCTGGGATTCCGTTTTTGAGTTTAGAGTACGATGGTCTGTATCACAGAATATCAAAAATCTTCTCTTTAAATGCTTGCACCGCTTCTGGCTGAGGCCTGGCATAAATTGAATTGCAGTGCATGTATCACAGCTTCGAAAATATTTCCGCGGCGAGAGTTACTTCACTCACTGAAGGTTGAACCATGCATCAAGTGCTTTTATAACATTTTTCTAAAAGCAGGATAGCTTCCATCGATACAGATATTCCGCGCTCGTATTTCAAAGCCATTTTGTCAAAACATCAATTTAAGCTGTATGAATAAACAGATGTGCTCGAGGATCTCTGAAACTTGTTTTCTCGACTTGAATATTTGTTCCTAAATATACAGCACGGATTTCGCCGTTGAAATTCAGCCGAGAATTGAGACCCCCAGCGCAGGATCTGAATCATTAATACTTCCACTGCGAAACAAACTCGTAGTTCACATGAAAAGCAGCACCCGCATCAATAAAAGCACAGTAGATTTAGACTCGTGCATGCTGTATAGTACAGCACACATGAGGCACCATATGAGAGTGCTGGAAATAAAGGTGAGAGAGCGAGTGATACAATAAGAGGAAAGACGGATATCCGGCCTCGTTTGGGCGTGAACATCATGAATGCCAGCACTGCTGAAAGAATAATGGCATGCAACTGATAATTGGGGAGAGCTTCCTAAAAAAAAAGGAGTTATACAAGTGCAAGAATCCCGTCATTGAGTCAGTTTGTGGCAACCTTTTCCTATATAGGGTCGGCTCTGCATGAGGAGTGCACACAGTGAAATCTAGCGAAATTTAAGCCTGATTATTGAAAAATGAGTAAAAAATAATTGTCTAAAAACTTGAGGATTATTTGCGTAATTTGTTTTCATAGCCTGCTAGCTGTACGATGGACGATGAAAATCCACTATTAATAATAATAATAATTCAGCCCACAATGCAGATGTTTAAGAAAAATGCGAAAATTTTGAAGAAATGATTCTTATTGTTCATGGTTCAACAAATCAACACTGCCGAATTAATGTTCTCCACAATTTTCTGTTATACGATGGTCCTATAGCGATTGTTAATTGGTAAACTGAAGTGTCATAGTTTGAATTTGTCTGTTAATCACGAGTTTCACAACAGTATATATTGTTTCAAGAAATTATTGGCTACAAAGAATTCGTTTTCCTGTTCCCTCTCGATTAGCTGAAATGAATGATGTAAAAATTATTTATAGCGCATTTTTATCGTTATAATAACGAAGTTTCTGTCCAGATCCCAATATAACAACTTCCTTGTAAAGATATTCTACTGTTTATAACGTTTCATGAAGGTTGGAGTTGCGGTTGCTGACCTGCGCAGAAAAATGAGCAAAAATGTTACACGGTGGACTCTGAAAATTCAAGGGACCAGAAAATAAAATCACAGAGAGAATTTTAGTTGTTGAGAACCTGTATAACATGGGGAGAGAACCCAGAAAAATTCGCGATACTGTATAAATAAAACCGTTGTAGACAAGACTGTTGTAGAACGTTCTTAAATCGCAGGAATTATTTTCTGGGTATAGTTCCTGTAATTCATTGTGCAATGTTGGGTTATAGTGCGATAGAAAATGGCGGGTTCCTCGGAAAAGATCCGTACCCCAAGGTATTCTGCAGCAGACTGTATAGTGAGAACAGCAGTCATCTCCAGCAGCAGAATCGCGGCTCTCTGAAATAATATAAGCTCATATATAAAAGAGAAAATGCCGAATCTCGACATGATAGACCCTTACCAGTGTCCTAATTACCAGTCAGTGACGAGTACCCAGCAGCAATTTCATGTGGATGATGTTTCTTCTCCTTTGGATTCCACTACAACAGCGTCTACTACATACGGTGATTTAATTTTTGCGAAAATGCTACATTCAGAATGTTCATGAGAAGAAAATACGGTGCACTATAGCCTATAGGACATAGAGCATGAAGTACTTCCTCATCATGCATCACACAACTTGACAATAATAATTAATTTAACTTAAACGAAAAAATAAATTATTTATAGGTATTCGAGAGAATCTTCAAAGGCTATCCTCCCAATAAATTTTATTCCTAATTTACCGAGAAAAAAGTCCACGAAGTCGAAATATCGATAAAAGGGCATACCGTATAAAATGTATCATGATTTCAAAGCATGGTATATATTATTTAATTTTTTATTTTTTGAAAGATGATGACGGAGTGCCGTGCAGGGAAAGACCACCACCGACTCACATCATCTCCAAGTTGTATGTCATTTACCAGCGATACAAATTCGTGATCTTGGCAACGACTTTCTCAGCATTCCTGGGGATTTTCTTTTCCGGGCTTCTGTTCACCACAGCGACCGAAGGACGAGTCAAAACCTGCTTTGGACCAGGTAAAACAAAAATTCATAATTATTTATCTTAAATGAGCCTGAAAAAAAACTGACGGATATGTCTGGCATTCAAGCCAACGTATGCTATTAATATCATTGCTTTTATGTATCTCTTAGTTGTAAAAAAGAACTCCGATGTGGAATCCGATCGTTTGAGATTAAATAATTAAACAGAAATTTTGTCAAAGTATATTTAATATACTGTATTCCCACATTTTTCAATCTAAATCAAAGCACTCCCGCTCGGAAATTGATTCGCGTGTGAAATTTTGATTTTCCTCTTGAATTAAATTGAAGATGTTTTTATTGAGCTGACCAGATATATTTAAAAAATACAGAAACTTGATTAAAATGACTGTTATTGTTCAATTGTTTAATTTTTTTGATCAAGGAACGAAGTTTTTCGAACATTTAATCCTTTTTCGTATTTCATTTGATGATCGAGACTTATATTTCCTTATGTTTATAAATGATTATGTACTAACTTATTATCAAATAATATTAAAGATAAAAATATATATATTTTTTGCATATTATGAACGCTATTTTACTTTAAATTTCGATTAATTATGATAATTCCGGCAGACAAAACTGTAACTACTGTAGAATAATTTAGATTCTTGCATAGTTACGAATAAAAACTCTACTTTCGGAAAATTTTGACGTGATTTCCAGATTGCGGTGACATGAAAGAAGCCGAATTGCAAGGAAAAATTGTGGCAGTCGGCCATCCGGCGGAAGTTCTGCAAAAATTGCACTACCCGGAACCACCTGGCAGTAAACCCCCCGAGGCGAAGGGTTATGACCGGTCTCAACCCTGGGACATGGTCAAGTTACCCTCATTTGCGAGACCTCGACACTATAAATTGCTGCTGCAACCGGACGTCGACAGACAAGCTTTCCGAGGTAAAAGAACATCACATTTCGAAGAAAAAAAATCCCTTTTGAATGCTGTTTTTTTTAACTTTTAATTTCTTCAATATTTGCATATATGGTCAGAGGTCAAAATTTGCACTCGGAATACGCAAATTTGAATTAAACATGTAGCAATTTTGTCTTGTAAAGGAGGCCTTTGAGTATTATTTTCGATCCCAAGGAAATAATTGCTTTTTACGTGATGCCTTAATTAAAATTTAAGAAAAGAATGATTTAATTGACAGATGAACCCTCGCTTCCAAGTTCAGCATTCCGTCCAACCCTTTAACGCAGAATTTTTATGCCAAAAATGTACTTCATCTCTACGTTGAAATCAATGGAAAGAATAATTTGACAAATTAACCTTCACCTCCAAGTTCAGCATTCCGTCCATCCCCTTTATTATAGCGTAGAAGTTTTGTATATTAAAAAATCAAAATTTAAATTTCCGCTGAAATTCTTATTTTAAAAACAAAAAGAGTATATTTTCCTCAATGACTGTATTTCAAAAACTCTGTAAGTCTATTTTTTTTCTGGTCCCCCGGAATTTGACTTAAATATATATGTTGAACTGGAGATTTAAAGCTCATACACAAAAGCTGCCAAAATATAATTAAGAAAAAAAAAGAAACCTGTGAAACATTTTTGTTTTTAAAAGCAGACGCTTTTGGAACAACAAAATTGTGCTTTCATCCCTCTTTTCCCTGCTGGAATCGGAATATTTTTTGACAGGCTATTACGGAAAAGTCTGTTTGAAATCCGTTTTCCCCTGTTCGAAACGTCAATCACTACATATTTCCACCTTGCCGCCTGAGGGGGTCTTCGTATATACAGTATGCGATAGGAGAGAGAGAAAAAAAACAACAAAAAGGGACGTGTTTTTGCTCAACTGAAAAGAACAGGCATATAAAGGACTTGCCTCTTGTTTTCCTCACATGTTAGGATTACATTGGTTGAGACCAGGGAAAATCTCACATCCTTGTTATGATGTTCGTTGATCCGTTACAAACTGGGTCCACAGAGACCCGGCATTTTTCCCATTATTCGGTGTAACAAAGCGCAAGGAAGTGATATAATTTAGTATAATGTACAGAGAGAGCAACTACCGAAAATATCCGTTTTTCCTCAGCTTTATAGAGAAGCGATGCTTTTTTGCTGTGGTGATAATTCGTTTTTGACATTTTCCAAGGATATTTATCCAATTTTCAACACAGATATTCAATTTAAAAAACATATAGTCGAATCTCTTGTTGTTTACTCTTTTGATCCAGCTTCACACTAACTTATATTGAGGAAAAATCTGTCTCCAATATCTCTGTAAGTAGAATTTCAAAGCACCAGCAAAATTAATCAACTTGACGAGGTTTTGAGTCAGGAAAATAAGCATTTTTGTTGTGGGAAACATAGAAGAATTGCAGGAAATTTTAAATGGTGATATTCATGAGTCTTAAATTGCTTTTTAAATTAGTTGACAGGATGCTGAACTTATTGGAGGCAGGGTTTCATTTCCCAAATTAGCCTTCACTTCCTTACAACACTCATCAAATTAAATTTTATTGCCTTTTCTCTTTCTGGTAACAAATGAAATAATAGCCAAAAAGCCTGAGAAAATTTGAGTAATGGAGGAGATTTGTGAGGAAGAGCCTTTCAGTTATAGAGGTTTTAATGCATTGTTTCTAAGGAAATTCAGATGGGAAACACTTTTAGAGAGGTATTTGACTTAAGGACATTCAAGTTATTGAGGTTAAACTGTACTGTATTTGATAAGATAAAAACACTCACTGTTGTCTACATATCAGTCATTCTCATCCATACTTAATGTGATACAGGTGGTACCTTGCAATTTGACCTCCTGCAATTTGATCATCCAGCAATTTGATGGTAAAATTTGCAAGGACGTTGACATGCAATTTGAATTTGAATTTTTAAACTTATATTTTTAAATTTCACAGAGTTCTTGCAATTCAACCAATTTGCAATTTGACCCTAGTCTGTCAACAGATTAGGACCTGTTATCAGTGTGACAAAATGACAATACTTGGGAAGTACCCCGAGGCAAAACTTTCTGGCGATCCTTTGGTGCATTGATTACTTTGCAACAAAGTATTATTATATTCCCGATGCTTGATATTCTCTCTGCGTCCCGAGACGCTTCGATAAGCGACATCAACTCTTATCCTTACCCATATCAAGATCTACTTCATTATAAAACCAAATGATCCTCTCCGCCTCAAAACTCTGTTGCTGACCAGATCCCTCTTAAAGATAGCCCCTTTTTCTTGTTCCTTATTCCGTCGGTCAAAACGTGTATCGAAGCTTATATAAATCTTTGTTTTCGCCTGCGCGAGTTCAGTGTTGTATGCAACCTCGTAAGGAGACGAGTACGTTGATAGAAATATATCTTCTTAAAGATATACGGACTCTATACTTATTCAAAGGCTGAATATCGGACACTTGAAGAAGTTTCCCGGACATCAAGGAGAGAACTTAAACGTGTAACAGTTGGACGGTTTCTTAAATTAAAGCTAACAAGGAAGGCGACAAGACACATTGTCAAATTTTATTTAATTTTTGGAAACCGGACAACAAA